AAGTATTAGCAAACCAATCGGACGTTTTGAAAAAGCCATAATAGTAAAATATGTTTCAAACAAATGAAACAATTAATGCAAACAAATAGAATAAACCAGGAAAAAAACTCTGTTTTCTCTACTAACTTGTAAAAGGATATTTCACGACACATTAAAAAATTTCAGACCCTCAAATTGGTGTGCCAGCGGGAAAATCTATTGTTCATAATAAAATTTAAACTCACTACTGCAGCAGAACTAACACTTTATAAGTTGAAAGCAAATCATATAAAGCTAAAGGCTGTGAAAAACAACAACTAGCGACACTTGCAAACTTTTTAAAAACCAGCTCAATCACTACTTAAATTTGACAAATCAAGAAAGTGAGGTTAAATTTTAAAGTTAAAAGTTAAATTGTGAAATATTTAAAACTGAAAGAATAACCTAAAATACCTTTACTAAATATTATGTGATTATGGTGAAAATTAATTTACCTAGATATTAAAACAAAAAAGTGTGAGAGTGAAATGAATGAAATTTTCGAAATAAACGGTTGATTAACAAGTAAACATTTTTAAATAAATAACTTACAAAAGATTTTGACAACTTAAATACTTTTCCAAAAAAAGGAAATAAAAAAACTTTTAAATTTTTAAAATTAAAATTAAATTTGAGTTTCGGCACCATTTTGTGTAGATTTTTATAGATCCATCCTGATAAGTAATACAAATATTTTTTTACGTTTTACATGCACTTTTCTTAAAGGAAATCTTAAAATTTATTTTTTTTACTTTATTTAAGTTTCAAGAATTAACTTTGTTTAAATTAGGTATTAGCGGAATTTTTTACTTGCAATTTCAGTTTCGTAGTATCGGTATGTGCAATTCATCATCATTTTCATTATCAGTAGCACTACAACCCTGGGTGGGTCTTGGCTGCGTTTATAATTCGCCTCTATGAGATAAGCCTAAACATTTTTCTTATTAATATTTAAACCTGTTTAAACGGCGGAATGGATTAAACTTAGGAATCTTTAATATTGGTTGATTTCATTAAAAGGAAAAATCAAAACGTTAGTGGAAAAAATAATGAAAATAACATTTATTCGAAATAAATTCAAAATGTAAAAAAGGCTTGTTAACAAAGCTCAATTTCATGGGCCTTTCTAGATAGTCCTAAACATGTTTGACTGGGTTTAGATCTGGACTCACAGCTGGCCAATTTAAAATTTGAATACGAACCTCTTGATTCTAGTAACGTGGGAGGCGAGCATTATCTTGCATAATTGAAACAAACGGCACTAAATTTTCTTCTCTTGCTCTTTAATTTACGGAACAGTTGCTAAGATTTCCTGCGAAACACTACTAATTCTGTGTGGCCCTGAAAACGAATACCTTCCCAAATAACAAGCGAGTCACCTTCAAAACTTCTGACTGCTCTTATGTTCCACTAAATAAATCGCAACTATCCACATCTGTAAACTAGAATACGTTTGTCATATCCATCACTTTGGCTAATCCGCAAAATGAATATCACCCAAGTCGTTAATATCCTAATTAACATGCGAACCTTGAACCTGTACCGATGTACTCTGAATAACAAGGGAACAGTTGCCATGCATTCTGACTCTTATTTCATATTCTTTTCATCTGTTTTAAACCGAATTAACAGACAGCTGAACATTACGGACTCCGGAGAGACCACTTTGCAGGGTGTCTGATTGAAACATCACGTGTACGCAAATTCAGCAAACGTAAATAGCGGTCATCTACAGGGCTGGTTCACCTGGGACGACCTGGGACTCATCTTCTTTTGTAAATTCCAGTTTGCCTAAATTACCTTAACAGTCGAAATACAGTAGACTGGTTGATTCTCATAACTCCAGCAACGTATTACTACGACCACCAATCTCCAATTAGGGACACGATTGAACAAATAATATCACAATCACGCTTGATCAAACTTGAACACCATATCCATTTAACAACCCATTTTCTATTAGATGAGAGTGCCTCTTCCTGCAAGTTTCCCAGTGCGAATGTTATACCAGTGGCTAGGCACATTCATCCTAACGAGTTTTCTTACTGTAGGCCAACAAGTCCTTCAACATAGTACAACAACCTCCATCTTGCCCTGGATGACAGCAAATCTAGTTATCTAGTTCTTGTTGATAATTTTTCTGATAGAGCATTTGACATTCTTGATCATAATATTTTGTGTAACTAACTAAAATTTTTTGGGTTAGATACTTCAGCAAGTCGAAGAACGTGTCTTCGAAACGCATACTCTGATTTCCTGGACGTGGTACGAGGGATTCTTTAGGGTAGTGTCTTGGGGCCATTAATAGGCTCGCTCTCGACCTCTGACTCCTGTCACTGTCACTGGTCTTGACATTGCAGAACATCAAATAAATCAAGATCGAAATATGGTAATATCTTGCTTGAACACAAACTACGCCTTAACAACTCTAAATCACAGCTAGTTTTCTTTGGCAATAGCAACGATGTTGTTTTAAATAATGTAAGTGTATATACCAATAAATTTAAATTGAATCTCTGTACTTGGTGCAAGAATTTGGTTGTATTTTTATGAAACTAACAGATATTTCATTTTTAATTTGATAATACTTCCACTCACTTGTCAAATTCTTTACATTTCTTGGTCAGGCTTGTCATAGAAACTTCATCAATAAAGACCAATTTTGAACCCTACTCATTTCTAATATTTTTTTTTCGATATAATGAACTAGGTCCCTTTTGCGATTGTCTTTTAGCCTTTAGTCTTTTAGTTAATTGTTAATTTATTATTTTAAGGAGCAGTCTTTGCAATCTATGAGAATTTTTATTTATATATATTTTAAATATGTCAGAAAAATACTTTTTTTATGGTCTATACCGAGTGATTTCGTTAAAAGTGCCCTGTGTCATTTCCTACAGATGTGATTTTAATGTGCCAACAATTTATCCTGTACTAGTCTTGTAGTTTATTCGAATAATCTATACAGGGTGCGTCAAAATTTAAAATATTAATGTTCGTGAAAAAATCAAATGGAACATCCTGTACATTATACTTCCAATAATTACTCCTGTTGGTGCTCTTTCTATTTTATTAAATAATCTCTTTACCTATTTTTTGAGGTATACACATTTTTACGAACAAAACTCCGAAAATGTGTCAAATTATGAGAAAATATCGCAATAAGTCAAGAATTTTTTTTTTAAATTTTGCGAAAGAAGGTTTCCTTTCTTTCCGTTACTCAGAAATTCTGCTTTAATAATATTTTTAGATGGCTTTTAGTGCAAACGTTAATTTGCACGCAAATAATGGGAAATAACGTTGTAGGGCTTCATTTTTTTGAAAATGCAGTGAATTGGCAAGTTTACTTAGACTTAGTGAGGCAGAGAATGTAGTTCTTTCATATTGGAAATCCTGTTACGAAGTTAAGGATTATTTTCTGCGGGGATATTTTGAAGATCAGGTGTATACAACTGCCCCCATCACAAAAGAAGACATGAAACAGAGGATAAGAGAAGCCTTTCAAATTGTTAGTATTCGTTTAAAGATCGCGTTAGAGCGTGTATCGAAGTCGGTGGGAGACAAAAGAAAGTGAAACTTGACAGTTTTGTTTTTAGTTTCTAAGTGATTTTTCTGGAATTAATAGCAATATTAATATTGCATCTTTGCATAACTTTATTTTGTTATGCTTAATTCGTCTCTAGATTTTTCATGTTCAGAAAATATTTTATTTGAAAACTTTCACTATTTTTTTGTGCAAAAATGTGTATATCTTAAAAGATCACTAAGTTTAGGTTAAGGGAATGCTTAATAAAATTGAAATAGCATTAATAGAAGTAATTAATAAAAGTATAATATACCGGGTATTCCATTTGATTTTCTCAGAAAAATGAATATTTTTCATTTCGAATCACCCTGTATAAACGATTCGAACTAACTTCAAGACAAGTATGGGATAAATGTAAAATCTTTGGCAAAATAAAATAAAATTCAGCTTTCGGAAATGGAGTCAAAAATGTATGCAATAAAAAAAATTGCCATAAATCCGAAAACATTTAGTATAAACCACAACAGCCCTGCATTGGGTGATTGAGTATAAAAATAATAAAAGTATAAAAAATTCATATTTCATTTAAAATATGTATAAGTTTGGTTTGTCACATATTTATGTATGACCCTGAATATATTAAAATCATTTGAAATTGTTTCTTTTAGTCTCATCTATAACTTTTGTATTTCACAGTTTTCACTAAAATAAATAATAAACGAGATATATTACTTTGACACACTATTGCATACTTACAAGATATCAGGCTTCATCGGTTTAAACTAAAGTATTTTCTTTACCATCAATATAAAAATTAAATCTTTCAGCTGCAAATATTGCTCCCAACTTTCTCGTAATACAAGCTCGTTTTTTTTTTCTGTGTCAGTTAAAGCTCGACTTGGAAAGCTATAGGGGGTCCATTTTGTAATAAACAGGGACTCATACTATCCATCTATATAGCTATAAGATAAAGCGGCATTGACATTTTCTTTGAGAAGATAACGATTTCCCACATTTCACCCAGCAACCTGCACTTTGACCCATTTTCCTTCTAATCAGTGATTTCCGCACACTGAACTCTTTAAAGAGGACCAATGATTTTAAATCTCGCGAATTCGCATGTCGAATGGACCTTCTTAAAAATTGTTTCATAGTTGCTTCATAAGTTTCTGTGACTGTATGACTACGGGTTCATTTATTTCATAATGTTTTAAGCAACGCGCTGAAGTTCCCCGTTCCAAGTAACATTCGCGAAGCCCAAGAATCTGTAAGTTAGAGAAACATTTCATGTGCAATAAATTGGTCCTTCGAGCCGGATACGGCGATATGTTCGATCGGCCGAAGCGTTCGCAAATTCGACGGCCCTGAAAACTTCCGGCCTGTCGCGCCTATACAGGATCCGCGCGAATCCTTCGCTAAGCTGCGCTGCGTTGAGCGCGTCAGTCCGTGCCGGCCGGGGCCGACTTAGATGTTAACCTTCGAAAAATGTCGATGAAAAGCAAAAATCTGTGCCGGTTTACGCGCGAACTCGACGAAAAACTCATCGAGCTAGTGTCAAAGAACGAGGTGCTCTACAACACGAATCACAAATTTTACAAAGACATCGCCGTTAGGGACGACGTGTGGTTGGCCATCTCGTCGATCGTCGGCAAGACCGGTAAGGTTTGTTGCGGCTGGTTCGGGTACACGCGCGCGGTTGCCGGTTTTACGTGTCGTTCTGAAGATACTGATTGCCGCGTTGATTTTCCTTGTCAAATCGATGCTCGGCGCGTGATCGCGACCAGGCACTGCGGACGCGAGACGTCATTGCGGCCAATTTCGCGACGTTGCCAGATTGTGAATTTCCCTAAATGCTCCGGATTTTTGCACCGCGCGCAGCCAATGGGATGGCAGGAATCTGTTGAATGTATAAAGCGAAAATCCCGACCTGCGTTCAGTCAAACGCAGAAAACGGTCAAATGTGATTTTTACATCGAAATAGCGAGAGTTTTAATTTGACAATCTGTGCTAGATACGTATAATCCGAATATGCCTTAACAAAATGTTGCCTGTTTCAAGGATGCCGGACGTACTGGATGCGGAATCGACACAGGATAAATATAAATTTCTATCCATACGCTCAATTGAAGGGTACAGGGCAAAAACCAGACATGTCACTTTATTTTCAAACTGAGCAGTTTTATTTTAAAATCAAAAATAATTCAAATGTTCCCAGAAATTGAACTGAGGTGACTTTTACTTGATGAAAATCCATTTATCAAAATAAATAAGAACTAAAAGTTCAGATTTTCACGAAATTATATATTATGACATGACAATTGTTTCGACAACACCGTGTCTTTATCAAATGTCATACATTTGATTACATTTGATAAAGACACGGTGTTGTCGAAACAATTGTCGTGTTATAATATATAATTTTGTGAAAATCTCAACTTTTAGTTCCATTATAGCAAAATCTTATGGTTATAGTACGAAAGCTTAAAAAAAATATTTAACGTATAAATGGTATACTAAAGGCGACATAAACTCTCCATTTTTCAAACCTTATTCAAAATCTCATGGTTATAGTACTAAAGCTTAAAAAACATTTAATGAATTTATTGCCAAACACAGAATCAGCCATGTCACATTTATTTTTATAACAAAAAAATGTAGATGACAAATAGTATTTTTAAAAATTAATTGTAAATGTTTATGTCTTTCAAATATGTCAACCACTCTTGGACTACAAAATCACGCTCATCGGGTCTACAAACAGGCTTTGCAAGTGGAAAGTGACCTTTAAAGTAACAAAAGTTTTTTAAAAAGTTTAACTTTTTACTTACTATCGTAGACTAAAGGCAACATAAACTCTCCATTTTTCAAACCTATGTTTGTGTCAAAACGTTTCCTTATTATTCCAGATAGGTCTTGTTCGTTGTAGGTTGAACAGTGGAAAATAAAACGTTCATGTCCAGATTTTGCCACTATTTCCTTTAAGATCTGTGTTTTAAATGATCATTTTTGTATACACATTGAAGTTGGGGCTCTAATTTCTAATGACGTCTTCAAATTCTTCCTGGATCTCAAAGGTTGATTTCAAATTCCAAAGTCTTACGTTTTCGTCACACTTCAAATAACACTGTCCTCTTACAGGAATTGTAATTTTAATTTCTCTTAAGCCATGAAGTTTGTGGTTAACAATGAAATTGACAAATCGAAAAATGCAAAATTTTTATTTTATGTTCCTACAAAGTCGCAGAGTAAGTATTGATGAAATGGAAGAGAAAATAAGTCAATTTAGTTGATACTTTTTTAACGATTCTCTCGTTATTGGTACAAAATAATGACTGACCAGAAGAAAGAACAGAATGTTAAAAGCATTCATGGATAACTGACGTTTAGTTAGTTAGTTTGTTGGTGTTAAAAAGGTCTTTTTTGTATCTCTTACACTATAATGGCTTTGACGACCCTGGGCGTCACGTCAAACTGCTCGGTAATATGTCAGTCAAGGATGACCCTGGCAAGCTTTTATTGGAATGGTGTAGAAGAAAACATTTATATTGATAGGTTAAAAACCAAATTTCAAATTATAGACGAGTGAAAATTCACTTTTTAGCAAAATAGGTAGAGTCAACACGTGATGATAGGAATGAAACTGATTCACTATGTAACCTAGTCTATTTTACAAATAGCCCCATTGGAATCATATAAAAATCTCTTTATTGGGGTACAAAAATACTTTAAAATCTGCATCATCGTGGATCTGGCTGCTGGACTCAGAGTTTCAGAGCGCCCCAGCGCACTGCTGAGTTATGTTTGCCATTGATGATCCCACCAAAGCTTTCGTTGCATTGGTGTACCAAAAAATATTTATACTGATTGTTCATCTCTGCAGGTGTAAATATGTTCAAGCATTTTATTAATTATTCCTAACATATATAGTTTCCGCAAGAATTTATCTTCCATCCACGCTTCCTTGTATTTGAAGTACCATTCACAGTGCATTATCGAGTAAAAATATTAATGACATCGAAGCTTTTATTTATTTTATTTATTATTATTTATTTATTGAGGACTTCAAATATTGATAGGAAAGATTAAATACCTACTGGCATATTAATTAATTACTATTTACAATTTATTGTTTGGTTCAAGTAAGGTATACAATGGTAGCTGCAATCTACTGAAAAAATATAAAATACCGGCTAATCCTTGAAAAAATCAAAACATTATACTCATATCTGACGAAGGGCAGGTCTGACAATTTGATTAATATCTCCTTAGTTTGAATGCAAGGGCTTGCGAAAAAAGTGGCTGATGCCAAGCGTAGTGTACATAAGAGGAACCAATTCATTACGTGCCTGAAAATAAATTCCCATACAGAATATTTTTGACCATCTGGTGACTTTATGCTCACTCAAGCTTCAACTATAAACAAAACTCTCTTCCAGTAATCCATAGTGTACTTCATCTCTGGAATCGTAATTTGTCATCTGTCATCTGCAGTAAGTAACGAATCCACTCATCTGCTTCCAAAACTTTAACCAAATCTTGTGGTTCTACAGGAATATTGATCTTGTTAATCGCGTCCATCTATACATAGAGGTACATACTGAGCTAAAGGAAACTACTAAAATTTATTAAATGGTTCATTTGTTTACCTTATCGCAAGTCATGTTCTTTCGGTCTCCTTTCTCTACATGCTTCCCTCACCCGACTCTTAAAATTGCTGTCTTCTATTTCGTACTCCAAATGTTTATGATTGTGTTGTCCCTTCGTTAAAATAAACACACAACTCTCTTCAACTTTCCTGATGCTTAACGTCTTGTTTCTGAACATCTGAGATATCTTTCTCAAATTACACACATTACATACAACCTACAAAAGGTTAAAAAATGCTACAGAAAGCAACATTTTTTGCACTAAACAGGCAAAATGCCTTTGCTGAGATACTACAAAATATTAAAATCAATTTTACTATTATACCTTTTGCGTATATAATACATAAAGTCATCGTAAAACTATTTGGGGGGTTTTCTTTTCCTTTTCTCCATTTAAACCTACCTACCCTATGAATTTATCACTTAAAATTAAATAAATTCCTGTTAAAAAAATAATAAAATGTTAACTGTATATAATAAAATATTGGAAATAAATATTGAATTTGATATTGGTAGAAAAATCGAAAGTTCTAACCTAAACATTCTGTTTATTTATCTATAACTCTTTCACATATAATTTTGTCTGTACATCACGCCTCAGCCGTTGGCGAACTTTTCGACACTTTGAAAGGGAGACAAAGAGATCTAAAGGACATACAATAGACTTGGGACAATTTAAAGAAATCATAAATATAAGAAATATTAAAATTAATTAAAATAAAAATTAAAACAGTTGACTTTAATTCAGCAGAGGTGAAGACGACCAACAAGACCAAATACTCCTGTAGAACTAGAAGATTTGATTAGAGTTCTGGAAGCAGCTTTCACCCATTTTTCTTGCCCGCTCTGTATCAAAGGATTCAAACTTGCATTCCTTGGTGATATTAGCCAAATTATCGTCAGATATGGTCATAAGGTTTTGATTTTTCTGAGGAATACCAAGTATTTTTTTATTTTTTTCGGAAGGTAGCTAATTAATGGGGCATAAGATAAGCAATTGTAGATTCTAGATTACAAATGATCAAAAACACTTAGTATGTTGTGATTCATGTGGTTTGGCAGACGACAACTTTTAACTTAGCTGATAGGTGTAATAAATAAGGGGCTATAAGAACGGAAAAATATTTTAAAAGATATTTACGAAATAATGAAAGCTGGTCGCGGTGACTTTTAGAAAAATTAACCTAAACGTTTGTTTATTTCTTATATTTCATATTTTGAGGTTATGATTCACGTGTCTTATTTTCATTTTTCAGGTATAAGCAACTTACCCATTTCTCCATATTTGAATTTTCAAGTACCCCAAAGAAAAACCGACATGTATAAACAACACATTCAGACCCAGACATGGTGGCTACATCTCAAGGATGCAAAATAACTTGACTTGTAGCTCTGCCCAATGTGCACAAACAAGATTTCCTTCCAATTTCAAACGGAGTCAATTAAACATTTAAATAGTTATTCACACTTAATTGATAATGCAACGCTTATCGAATTAAAACATTACCATTTGACCCATTTAAAATAAATAAAAAGGTAATAAAATAATTTATTGCCCAAGCTTGTATAAACAATACGTTTCAAGTGGTCAAGCGAAAACAATTAGGAAAAACGTGAAGATGTCATAACTGCAAGTGCTACAATTAGTAATGTGTTTAATTTTGTAATTTAATGTTATCAGCCATTTTGCAAGTATGCAGATCTTTTTAGATGCTTTAAAATGAAGACAGAAGAACGAAAGGCTGCAGAAAATTTTGAAAAACAGGAAAAGTATGAATCAAACCTATTATCCACATAAGAAGTGGAACATATTATTATTATATTTATATTTTTGTGTTTACATTTATAACATTTTATTAATTTTAAAATAAGTTTACTAATTTCTAATATTAATAGGAGATATAAATAATAAAATATTATTTACTTATATCGCTATTGGTCCAGAAAACGCTAACAAAAGTGGTATATCAAAAATTTTCCAATTTAATTTTTCATGGTATAAACATGTCTAATCATAAAAATTAATCAAACTAACCGACGGTAATAAGTTCTCCAATAATTACACACGTGTTGGCCGATTCAATTTAAATTTGGCGCCATGAAAGTACACTTAGAAAATTAATGGCCGGCTTTTGGGTTTCAGTTCAAGATTGCAAAACCAGATGGCGCAGTCTGCGAGATCTGTACCACCGGAAGAAAAAGGACGAGAAAAAAGGCAAGAGGCCGCGGATATCGTGGGAGTACATGGAAGCCATGTCGTTTTTAGAGAGCTTCCTGTCTGAGAAGGAAAGGAAGTGAGTTCAAATGAAAGGAAACGTGTAAACGCGGCTGTGCCTGTGATTTCGATGACGTTTCTAAAAATATATATACATGATGGCGGAATACTGCGCTTTCAGTAAAAAAATATTTTCCTATACTTCACACAGGTTCAGTAAGAATGTCTTTGATTTTGCACTCTTCCTTTAATTTCGCTTAAGTACCATATGAATAAAGATAATTAAGTAATATTCCAAAAGAAAATATTTAATTTTTAATTACACAAAATTTGGCTTCTTCAGACCTAAACTGAAACTGGCACGCATCCGCTTATATATTGTTGATTGGGGTGGAGCTAAAGCAGGGGTTCTTTTATCCTAGTTAGAATTTGTCTTTGATGAATCGAAAATGTTGACAGATTTTTGGATAAGTGATAAATCTGGTTTTAACATTATATTCCTTAAAAATTTTTGTTACGTAGTCAGTGGTATTTGAAATATAAGGACGACAGTGGCAAGTGTGGGGTTACTTTCGAACTCATCTTCTTTGGTTTGAATGGTTACTTGAGAAATGTTTTCCCATTCCAAGAAAAACATAAAGCAATACCTCTTACATGCTAACTGGTACAGATGTCCTATTGGAATTAGATTTGAGTCGCATGATGGCCACTACAAGATTTGGATGTTAATTTAGTTTAAGTAATCCAAAACAATCCTGACATCTTGAATAATCTTTTCGTGATAGAATTCTGCATTCTTAGACATTGGACTAATATGAACCAGCTCATATTCATATTCCTAACCACAATATTTTTAAACCACCACCAAATGGTTTCTTTGGAGGGATAGTACAATCATAAAATCTTTCTGAGTTTTCTGTGATCTACTGTAAGTTGCGGTGCCATAGCAGGCCTTCCACTAACCTCGCGGTTAAGGCTGAAATACTGACATTTCTAGCAATTTCAAGCTGATTACTCAGCGCTCCACTAGTATGGTTTTTCTGTTTCGAAATGCCCGTTTGACTTGTATCCTTTTTCCTGCCCTGACCTCGTTTTCTATGGTGTGCTCCGGATTCCCCAAATCTTCTATCCATTCAAAGAAAGACGTAAGATAATATATAATTATGATTTGAAAACTCTGGCATATTCAAGTTGAAATGTGCTTCTAATTAATATAGTAAAGGGCTTAATTCTTGTAGTAGAAAACGAAATAAGTCTCACCAGTTTATAATGAGGGTAGAAAATGTTGCCCAATTAAATCATCATTGATAATTCGTTCATAAATCATACTCGGTTCGGAATTTCTTGGTAAAAGAGCTGGTGTTCTTTTATATCTTCCATCAGTATTTCAGCAATTTTTTTTACTGGTCTGCGGGTGCCCTTCATGGCAGCAACTTCTAATCCAGGTGTTGAAAATTTTTTTTTTCAAAATTTCCAATTTTGATGAACAAACAACCAAGCTGTGATGACTAGGTCTACGATTAAGGTATGCCTGTGTATAAAGACGATTAACTGCCAAGAAATATCTGCCATTCTATATTAGACTTAAACCTCTTGTTATTGAACAATTAATTGAACATAAAATAAAAAATATATATTGTTTTATGACATTGAAGAAGTTTTCCTTGAGTTTAGTTAAAAAATATACAGAATATTTTGGTTGGCATTTGACCTAGCGTATATATCAAACTATCCTTCATTTTAAACAAGGATTCACCGCCTCAATTTCTTCGTATTTGTTTTGAAACACAATGTAGATGTACGAGTTAATGTATATTGACTGCGATTATGAAGTCGGCAAAATTTTTATTAAACAAATATTAAAATAAATAAATTGAGATTGAAAAGTTATAAGAAGGAAAATAATAACTTTGAAAATATGTCATTCAAAAATTTTCCATGATTTTTTCAAATTCACAGATCTCGACTTCTACCAAGTATGACATTTTTACCTCGAGATCCAATATCCAAATATCGCAGTAAAATATAGTACAAAATATATTATCATGCATTTGAAAAACGAAGGTGTCTCAGCTTTTATAAGCAATTTTTGTCTTAAAATTAGTCATTCTAGAGTATTTAAAGTAACTCAACAAAACTAAATAAAGCAATAATAACAAACAGAATTGACACCAGCCCACAAGATTTTTTTATCTCGTTCTGCTTTAGATATTATTTTTTATTTGGAAAATGTAAGTGTTTTAAAAAATTGCAGGAGACCAAAGTTTTGAAATACAATATTTTAAGACATTGCATTGCACGTATATTCCCTTAATTTTAGTTAAGACATATGCGGAAAGTGTGTTTTTAAGATAAAAAATGAAGACATTATTTGTCTTCCATATTTGTAGCGTCCTCTTAATCGTGGGCTTTAGAACCAATGTTTCTATAACAAACTACCTTTTACATTAAGCAAAAACTCAGGGATTGAGATTTATTGCTTAGATTCAGAACTCAAACCTCAAGATCTATCCAAATATCGAAACGTGATTTAGGAAAAACAAAAATATATTAATGTGTTATTCTCTATTTCAAAAATGGAGGGTCTCAACTTTCATATGTTTTTTGTCTAAAAAATAGTCGCAATGTATAATTAGCAATAATAACAAACGTCATATCCAGTGACAGCAGCCCACTAGATTTTTTGTAATACTATTTTTTCTTCCTAACGGTTGGCTCTTGACCCAACATTTATGTAACAAACTACCCTACCTTAAACAAGGAATCACCTTCTTAATTTTGTCGTCATTGTTTTGAAATACCCTGTATACGTTCGCATTAACGCAATAGATATTATGAGAGCGGCGAAGTTAACATTTTCGTAGAATTTGTAGAAATTCGAAAAGCCACAAAAAACAAAACAATCGCTTTCGAAGTTTGAAGTTTAAAAATTTCAAATGATTTGTTCATATTTGAATATCCCAAACACTACTTCCGATGACGACTTCCAAGAAGTACGGCAATTTTACGTATTAGTAGATCAATAGAGGGGGTTTTGCAACACATAACCACAAAAGGATTGAAATTTGGTTTTTTAACTGGAAGTCAAAGCCCAAGATCTAACTAAATATTGAAATATTATTTAGAAAAATTAAAATTCATTTATTAATAATTTTACATTATTATTATTATTATTATTATTATTATTATTATTATTATTATTATTATTATTATTATTATTATTATTATTATTATTGACATTATTATTATTATTTATTAATAATTAATACATTAAAAACGAATCCGTGTAAAATTGTATATACAAGCTGTACCACGATATTGGGAGTGGGAGTGTGTTGCTCGGGTTATAAATGTCAAAACGAACATTTATCCTGAACGCTATTCTACGTGAGCTACAAGCATTTGATATTTTATTTATTGAATTAGGTACTCTAGCATTACGTTCGGCTGTTAATATTACTATTATCAGGTACAGAATACACCGATATTCAAATAATAGAATTTATTAATCAAAATTAGACACATCGGTGGATTGGAAGAGGTTCAGCAGTTCCTTTGCCAGCAGGGTCACCTGACCTTAATCCCTTAGATTACTTTTCATAGGGACAACTGAAAACTTTTGTTTATGCAAGAGGTATTGAAAACAGAGAACAAGTGGTAGCTAGAATTATGGATGCCGCAGAAACTATTCGTGCTGCGCCTGAGACTGTTAGCAGAGCTACCGCTTCATACAGCAACTAGGTAGACATTTTGAGCAACTCATTCAATAAAATAAAACACAAATATATAAAAAATAAAGGAGTTTCTTTTAAATGGTCTTCAAAATTGCAAATGCTTGTAGCTCAGTTCGGATAGCATTCCTTTCATATGACATTTTTAATTTGAAATCACCGCAGCAACACATTCCCAAGCTGTGGGTATGGCTTGGGACACCTTGTATACAAGAAATTTTTGACTTGAAAAAAGTGAAAGAGACTCTGAAAAGGAATTGTGAATATATCCTTTACGAAAAGTGCTATAAACTTTATAGAAAACTAGAAACTCCACATTCGGAAGCCGGTATTAAAACCTCAACTTCACTACAGGGCGCTCCGTGAAGAAGATCCCGACGACATCGACGAGGACAAACCGCTCGCCGCCCTGGCGTCCAAATCCACCCAAGAAGTCGACCCGCCCAGGCCGCAAAAGGAGGACAACAATCACAGCAACCCCTCCAAGAAAATCAAGGTGGAAAAACCTGACGCATACCATCAGTTCCACGAAACCTCGCTCACGCTCCAATTGCTCAGAGAGATCAGGGACGCCACGAGGCACAAGCAGGACCCCGTTATGACATTTTTCGAGAGCATGGCGAAAACGGTGATGACGTTTCCGGCGGCATTGGCAGCCGAGGCCAAACTCAAGGTATGTCAGATCGTCACCGAGATAGAATGCAGGCTGTTGGACGAGACCGGCGCCTATCCAGAGAATTTTACCAATTGCGATTGAATCTTTCGTTGCTTTCGGAAGAACGTTGTTGATTTGTTTAGTTCTTTAGGTCGTTAAGCTTGACAGTATTCATTTATTTAAAAACTTACCGACGTCTTAAATTTTTTTAACAGAATTCCGCCATGTTAAGATAGAGAGAGTAATAAAACGTTAAGGAAGCGTTAAGAGACAATTCAGTGTTTAGCGGGATAGCCAGAGTGCTTAGCGCAGCTGACATTTTCAAATGAACCCTTCTTCTTCTTTATGCTTCAGTTTAGGCGAATCGCTTGGTTATTTTCGTCGCTGTGCTCTTCCCGTTTTCCCTTTCCACCTAACACACATCCGTGACCGTTTTCCACCTTGCACATTCTTCTTATGGTTTCGCTCCTCTCTCTCCAGTTTCTCCAGTTACTCTACGCACTACGTAAGTACTTTCATTTCAGTTGTCTCCAGTAGGTGTCTAGTTTTCATTGTGTCACGTCGAGTTTCTGCGGTGTGTGTCACGGTTGGTTCTACAATTGAATTGTACTAGGTGAGTTAACGATGGACTAAACTCCATTACCAGATTATTATGGTAAATATAAAACTTATAAAGATTTTTAGGATGCACTATTTAAATTTGTTTTAAAATATGCAGGGTGAAAATCGAAAGTTTTTTATTAATAATAATACATTCCTAAAACTAATAATTTTCTCAATATTTTAATATTTCTAAAAAAATTTTGGTTTTAACACATGGGAAAAATTACGATAACGCCATTGTTCACTCATATTTCATTTGATTAGCATTATTGAAATATGATATATGCAACGGAATATGATCATATTTGGATCATTTTAAATTGAAAAATCACGATTTCATATATTATTATTTTTTCTGAAAGATCATACGAAAACCTACAACTCTCATTAAGTACTTTTCTAAACACTTTGCGATAAATTTTAAATTTTCCAATATTTACCTTTCTTTCTATCTAAGACTGTTGTCATGGTATCAGTTGGCCATGGCAGCCAGCAGGGTCTTGTTAAATTAAAAACTGAAGAGAAGAAAAAACTTTATTGGAGCCACAGATAAAACAACACACGGTTACCATTAATTTTGATGAAAATAGCTGCCAAATTTAAAATTCGCAGTAAAAGTAAATATTAAATACCTATTACTACAAATTAACTAATTTTCAATTATGATTATGGTGCAATAAATGTTCCAAAGTATGCCCTGCTACCTGTATAGCCATGTTTAGTCTTTTTGGTATATTTTCTTGGATGTTCCTTAGCATAAACACGACAGTTAACATGTCCTCACAAAAACAAATCTTGTTGGATCTCAATGGTATCAACTTCTCGAAGAAGTTGAGGTTAAATCATTCTGCTAAAAGTTTAAGTGGTTCGCGAAAAAAATATGCTTCAATAATTTTAATGTGTTTTATTCAGCACCACACATTAGGTAGCCAATGGTTTTTGTTTTTGCACCGTACCCAGAGTGGAATTAACTGTATCACAAAAGGTAGTTACTTAACGGCTACTGACCTGGAAACTTGAAATAAAATTGCCACCTTCATAGTGAATACTACCACTAGCATTATATCGTTCCATTAAACACTGAAGAGATTCTCTAGTTGGTATTTGGGTACTTCGTCTTGAGAAGCCTTCCTGCCAACAAAGTATTTATTTCCGCCTCAGATATCATATCAATTTATTCAGCTTTGGAAAAATCTCAATTCATTCAGGAAAATCATTTCTTAGTTTTTTCTTAAAATTTACTGACACCAGAATAAATGTTATGAATTCATTGACATTTGTAATGAAAAATTTGACAATGTCGTTCTGTCATGGTCAACTAATGTTATAGAGAGTTGAAATAAATCTCATTTAGTGAGGCATTTAAGAAAATCTAGATTTTTCAATTTCAGTATTAACCAAATATATTCGTTTATTTTAAAGACGCTGTGGCATTTAATTCAAATTTCAATGCATATGTTTTTTACGTCATTCTCGAATAACGCTAACATCAAATGCGTTCAAAAATAATGGCGCCGTCGTAATTTTTGTGCAATTGTGAAAACTGGTATTTTTTTAGAAAAATAAAAATCTTGGAAAAACTAAGTATGTGTTATTATCAATAATAAAGCTGAATAATTTTAAAAGAAAAATCTCTACAACATTAGTTTTTGCTCTATCTTTAACTGACCCTGTATATTATCGACTTTCTATTGTAATATTTTTATTTCGATGTGCTCTATATATCATTAAAACATCTTGATGTTCTTGTTGCCCCTGTTGTCTGTTCTCTTACCTCCGCTTCACGATCACCATATCAGATTTTTATACTCTTGTACTTTCAAGTTCTAGTTTGAACCGTAATAGTTTTTTTGATGCTCTCGTGACTTCATTTTTTTGGGTCTATATATATGAGTGGTTTGGCGATGTAGTCGAGTTTTCAGTCATCAGTCCGGCGTCATCGGCCTAGCACTGGATAAAGATTTCACAATCATGTTGAAGAGACGAGGCTCAGCTAGTCTCCACTGCCCACTGCTATTGGTTGGGTCTGGACCCATTTGCCTGTTGTAAAGAACGCTAATAACATCCTCTAGGCGCACTCGATCAAACATCAAACGCTTTTTCCTAATTAATGAGTGACATGTATACTGTTCTGTTGTTTTCAATTGATTTTTTCGTTTTCTCTCTAAAAACCGCTTCTGTGCATGATCTCTCTGTTTATCTGCTTAGTGTGTTTGTTTTGGTGAGTTATAACTTTTGTTGTAAGTTTCAGCTCAGTGCTTATGGGACTTACACCTCTGCGGTTTGAGGGTAAGCTCTTATCTCCTTTCTTTGTGATATTGGTTAGCCATTCATCGAGTATTTTATGTTGCTAGAGAAATTTTCCATGCCGTGCTTGATATTGAGTACAGTATTTGAGTATCTTGTTCAGAATGCCACCTCGCCCCGGGCTCTTCCTATTCTTCAGCTTTTGAAGAACTGTATCCACCTCAACTGTCTCAATTTGTAGTTTATATAGTTCAGTTAGATAATTGCCCCAGGTTTCTATTGTTATCGGATTTGTTTCGGCTAACTCATTGACCTCATTTCTTTGGGTTCTAATGGGTTATAATCCATTCGCTTCGAGATATCCGAATGATGGTTTTTGTTGTTCTTACTACTGCTGGTGTTTCTTTTTAGATTCATTTTATCTTTAATGCTATTCTGATGTCCGTAATGTTCTGTAGGTGAGGTACGGAATTTTTTTCTTTATGTTTTTCCTTGTTTTCTGTACGGAACCATGGGGTTTTGGTGTTGTTCTTTTTTTACAGCTGGTTCATATGCGACTTTTTTAATGTTGATCTGTAGTATTTTTACTCTAATTGGGTTTATTTGAGTTCTTCTTCTCAGTAATTCCTAGCCTTTTGATTTGTCCAGGGTTTCTTGATTTCGCATTTTAAGTATTTTTTCTATGGAATGCAAATCTGGTTATTCAAAGACGATGGAAGATACCCAAAAATAAGTTTTGTCCTTCGGCTGTTATTATACAATTTTTTTATATTATAGTTGAAAAATCAGACTTACTCGGCAATCAAGACATTTTTTCTCTATAGCCTTTAGAAGTGGCTATTTCACATATAGCTCAAAAGTTGGTATTTTGTATTGGTAAATGTATTTATTGTCTTAATGGTAGTGTCAATTTTACAAATACACCGAAGAAAAAGGTATTTGTATAAATTACATACATTGTGATTCTATGTAGGTATGATGGATATCAATTAATCATTTTAGCCATGTCTGAATATTGACTTTATTCAAGACATACGCTTTTAAATGTTATATTTTAATAGCAACTCTACAATTAGAGTATTTTTGCTGTTTCATACCTCACCGCAGATAAAATTATGAGCAAGTTCTTAAGTTTTATTAATCTCTCTGTCGTCAAGGAACAGACTACATCCTATATAGAAACAATTTAAACTTTTTTTTTGTTTCTTGTGAAAAGATGAGTTTGGTGCCATGCTAGTTAAATTTTGCGTTTTAATTTCGCACTTGTAATTACGGCAGCGAGTAAATTGCACAAGAAAAAATTTCATTGATAACTTTTTTCTTCAAAGTAACATTTTAAAAAACTCTTGACGATTGTACTCCATGTACGTTTACATTAGCTGTTAGTAATATAATAAAAATATGTAGCAATTGTTATGTTTAACTTGTGCAATAAACTAGCTGTCCACTGGGATTATATACCTAATATACCGGACGACAAGAAAACTACTGTCCAGGGCGGCATTTCAAAATTACTAAAGATAATAATATGTAATTTGGTATGTTGATAAACTTCAATGTTGTGAACGTTGGTAGCAAAAAAACCAATGGAATAGCGTTTCCTGTTTCACTGAGAATAACCTCAATTTTGTATTTCATATGGACCACCTTGTATATTTTTCATTTTTTTTTTTGGACTTGGTTAACAATTCTAAAGAGCTTTTGTCTAAAATACTTCATGTCAAAAAAAATTTTGTTTTCAATAAATCCTTTCAAAAATATTTAAAAACGTAACGCTTGTCTACCAGTGGCAAAAAAAAACATATTTCGTTTTTCATTTATCAGGAGTTTATGGATGTAGACTTCATCATAGTTGGATGCAGGTCTAGACAGTGGACATTTTTTTTTTGGTTAGAAATTTTGTTTTTGATGATTACCTTAATATTTTTTGTTCTGATCTACTTCGATAATAAGGAAGTTGAGGTTATTTTCGGTGAAACCGGAAACAGCATTTACAATGTTCACGATATTCAACCTTGTGAACTTACATATTTTGCTATTATAAACTATGGACATTAGTTTCGTTGCCACCCGGTATTTCAATAACTGTGGTTAGTAAAATATTTCCCCACCGAATATGTTATCGGGTGGTATTTTTGGTAAAAATCAAAATTGATATTTTCATGTGATATAATAGGAGTCAAAAGTTTTAGTTCGGTCTAAAATCTCGTAGATTTTCCAATGTGATAGCCTATAGTGATATTCCCATTAAAATCAC